AAGGTATTGTATTTGGTTCGGCTGCTTTTTTTTTTTTTTTTTAGTTTTATTGAAATACAGTCAGTTTCCAATGTTGTGTCAATTTCTGGTGTACAGCATAAGCAACTGAGTATTGATCTGAAGAGCCTGGAGAGGAGGACGGCAAAAATGCTTGCTTAAGTTCTCTCTAACGTTAAGGGAGGGGAGAAGGTGGGCAGAGTAGTCAAAGGGGCCTGGAGAGGCCTCAGATGAGGGCAGGTGCCAATTCCTGCCCTGTTGGGGGGGCCCATATCCTCTGAGCATCTGCTTCCATGTCTGGAGGGCTGAGATTGGCGCTCTGAACATTGGCTTCCACTTAAACCATTTTAAGAGACGAATGTTACAATCGTCATGTTGAATATGAAGAAAGGCTCTCAAAAAAATTGCCTAATTTGAATAAATTCACTCAAGGTCACATGGCTGGTAGGTTAGTCACAGTGTTGGAATTCAAAGCTGAGTTTGTTTAAGCCCAGAGTTTGTGACCTTTACAACCTTGTGTTCTGTGTGAAACTGGGTTGGAAGGCAGCTGGTAGCCAAGTCATTTCCTCCTGGGTTATAAACATCATGCAGAAATGCATTTTTCTGTTTCCAAGAAGCTTGTTAATGTGGATAATACCATTTTGGGAGTCCCACCTGAAGGAAGGCCCATTCTTGAAGGTCAGCCTCCTGGCTCCTAGATTCAAGACTCATGCCCACAAAATTAGCTACGTTATCAAGTTCTGGCCTGGTTCTGGGGAAGGCCACTTAACCTGCTCAAGTCACTTGCTCGATTCCCATTATCAGGCTTCGTGTTAAGTTTCAGCAATGTTTTTTTGTTTTCTAGCAAGCTAAAAACCACTGTAGTAGACCCTTGACACTGGTGAGAGCTGCATTCTGCAATCTTGAAAACCACATAGTATGTGATTTCCTCCGATAGGGGCCGTCAAATTCTCCTGAGACATTTCAATAATCCCTCCTTCAATCCTTTAATGGACTACTGTTACTTGATGGGTTGGGGTCTGGATCCCAAGGAGTCTGTTCCACTCATGATTCAAAATTATGATTCAGCAACATTATAAAATCATTACACCCATCAGGGCCCTCTGCATATATAAATGTTAAACCTATACATTTCAAGGGTCTGCTCTATTTTTGGCAAGAGAAGTGAAAACCAAACTATAGAATAGTCCTAAAAAAATGTAGGAAAAGCCTTGAAATTTATACACTATAATGCAAATACTTTGTTAAACTCTAAGGTTGTTATCAAAATCGAGAGCTTGCTTCTAAAAGTTTATAACACTTTTGCCCAGTAGTCTGCCATGCCCTGTGGGAAGCACTCCCCAAGCCTTTCATGGCTGTCCCTTCTGAACCTCATAAAATCATCTGTGGTTCTCAAGATTTCCTCCCTACTGTCTTCAAGTAGCATGCTCCTCTTGGAGTTCACATTGATCTCCCAGGAGAAGGAAGCACACTGTTCAGATGAGGCATCTTTTAAAAGTAAGGGCTATATGGGGGTGAGGTATAGCTCAGGGTTAGAGATGTGCTTAGCACGCACGAGGTTCTGGGTTCAATCCCCAGCACCTCCATCAAACAAAAACTGTTTAAAGAAAAAAAAAAAGAAAAGAAAAGAAAGAAAAGAAAACAAAAACTAAATAATTACCACTACATGACATT